AGATGCTCACTCTCATCAGTGCCCTGGGGATGCTCACCCTGAGAAATTGATTCAGTACCAAGCAGAAAGCAAGGAAGTAGAGCCTGCACTGCTGGCTTATTAATTTGCCAGGGGGAGCCATCATCATCAGAGGGACCAGATGTACTCAAAGTCCTTATAATCAGCACAGCAAGGCCACCACAGGACGCCAAATCATAATCAAAAACCATTTAGTAAGTTGTCCTGAAAGATCATCATTGCAGAATCTAGAAATACCCCGAGTCTGTATGATCAGTTCATTCTTTCCCTGAAGGCACCTGGGAAGCCAAATCATAGTCTAAAGCTGTGTGGTGAGTGGCTAATCAGGACGAGGGAGGCTAAGTGGCAGCAGGTTAGCTTCATGACTTCATCTCAGAGTGGGAATGACTTCACCTGAAACACTGAACTACTCAAAGCTGGTCAAAGGCCTAAAAGTTCCCTTTTCCTAGAGGGGCATGTGGATAGGTGGATTAGTTATCTTTGGCCACATAACGAAGTATCCAAAACTTAGCAGCTTACAACAAAAATACGCATGTGTGGATCGGGAATATGAGTGGTTCCGGCGCAGGGTCCTTCTTCAGTACTGTCTGGAGTGCAGTTATCTGAAGGCGTAACTGGTGCTGGGGTTCGGCTTCCGAGATGGCCCCCTCACGCAGCATGCAAGTTGGTGCTGGCCGTTGGCAAGAGGTCTCAGTTCCGCCCCACCAAGAGCTCCCACCCTGCTGGGTTGCTTGTGTGTTCCCACGACGTGGCAGCTGGTTTCTTCCCCCAAGTGAGTGATCCGAGAAAGCAAGGCAAAAGCTGCAGTGCCTTTCATTACCTAATTGTGAAGTCACACGCTGTCCGGCCACTTTCTGTTTGCTGGGGGGTGACTCACTAGGTCCAGCCTTCACTCAAAAGGAAGGGTACTATTTAGGCCCCACCTTTTGGAGAGGAGTGCCAGGGGGATTGTGGACCAGTGTTAAAACCTCAATATGTGCCCTGGCTGGTGTGGCTCAGTTGGTTGGAGTGCCTGCCTGTAGCCAAAGGACTGTGGGTTCAGTTCCCATCGGGGCACATACACCCAAGTTGTAGGTTCGATCCCCAGTGGGGTCACATACAAGAGGCAGCAGATAGATGTTTCTCCCTTTCCCTTTTCCCTTCCACTCTCTTTAAAATAAGCAAGGAAAAAATGCCCTTGGGTGAGGGAAAAATAAAGTAAAGCCACAACAGGTATGACCTACCTTTCTGTGTAATTCCTTTTTTCCTGCACTTGCATAGCTGACCAGCTCTTCTGATCCATGTACTTTATCAATATACTTATCTTGTTATATTTATAAATGTAATACCTGTTCATTTTATATGTGATTATATATTACGTATGTATAATTATCCATTTCATGTATCACAGCGTATATAATAAAATATTGACACATTTAGCTTATGTCCAAGCTCTTCTACCACAACAATCATTATGCACCTTTATGCTAATTTTCATGCTCCCATTCTGCCACCTCGCTGAGGACCTGGGACAAGTTACTTCACCTCTCTGTGCCTCTGTGTGTTCTCATCTGTAAAACAAGGCTGTCATAGGACCTCACGAGAAATAAGCTCCTAGTGAGGGCTACAGGACTAATTGTATGACAGTTCTCAGAAGAGTGCCCGGCACACAGAAAACCTTCAGCACTCTGAGCTGTCAGCCCGAGTGCTGCGCAGTAGCGGTAACGGTTTGGCCCCATCAGGGCGGTGAGCCCTCAGAAGGTGGTCTTGTGTCCATGTTCCCAGTGGCTGTAAACAAAAGTCATAGCCGTCTTCCTGGCCATGTCACAACCCTACTCCATCCAAGCTCTGTCCCCGAGGACTGAGAAGGAACCCTTTCAGACCAGGGAGAAACCAGGGCCAGTGGCCTCTTGCCTCCCTTTCCTCTGTGCTACGCTTGTTCCTCTTCGAAAACCCAGGTCCCCGCCTGGCAGAGAGGGCTTGCTCAGAGGTAGACTGTTTAGTTTGTGCTCTGAGTCCCATTTACATTTTGTTTTTGTTCCTGACTGTTTTTTTAGACTGACCTTTGTGGAAGGGTACAGTGTCCAAACAGGGAAGTGACCCAGCAGAAATCGAGGGAGTTCCTCTGCCTTGTGAACTTTTATTCAAGGCTGTTCCCAAATTTTATTTTTAAACATACATTTTTCCAGGGTGTACAGTAGGCACATCTGATCGGTGCTGGCGTCGGGCATAGATTCATCTTCCTCTCAGGCCCTTTTACTTCTTGCCAGTGCCTCTCAAGCTCCTTGGGCTTAATGAATAGATTCCTGTCTTCATCCCAAGCATATCCATGATTTATAACAGGCTGGGTGTTTGCTGAAAACATATTGATGAGAAAGTCAGAATTGGTACTTTTTTCATCTCCCGGAGCTGGTTGAAAAAAAGGGAGGCTATACCTAGCGGAAGACACGAGGGTTGTCTTGTGTCAGGTGGCAGTTAGCTAAATATAGAGACCGGGAGCTGGGAGGGACCTGCCGAGGTCATCTGTGCCCTCCCACCCGCCTCCCCGTCTGAATGTCTCTAACCCTGTGCCAGGTCAGGAGCTGCACAGGGCTTCTGAGCACTTCAGCAGTGGCTGGTCCGCACTGAGAGGTGCTGCCAGCGGTAAAGTGTGCCCTGGATTCTGAAGGCTTCACACACAGCAAAGAATGGAGAATATTTCATCAGTAATTTTAGGTTAACTATAAGCTGAAATAACAATACTTTGATAGATTAAATAACAGATTATGAAAATCAAATTCACCTTTTTACTTTTAATACTAGAAAATTTAAAATTCTTTACGTTAGATCCCATATTCCATTTATATGAAATTTGTATTTCTGCCTGCTTCTGCAGACCATGTAGCTCTGTTCTTCATGCCCCAGGGCAGACTGTAGAGCCTTCGCTGGTGGTTTCTCTGGGCCTTTTGTCATTCTGGCACTTGGTTTTTCTCCACATCGCATCTTATTTTTTCCTTCAGTTTGAAGATGTCCACTTCAAAGAGTTGACTGTTCATCTCCTTATTAGATCTCCACTGGAAAGGAGTCAAGCATCTTTTCATATTGTTCAGTCAGAAGCTCAATAACCCTGCTTTCTTTCACCTTTTGACTTGGTTGCCCTTTTCCGGCTCTGATGATGTTTAACGACATTCCCTGGGTCCTCTCTGGTCTATTATTTTTAAAACTTGGTAACCCAAACCACCCAATATTGCTCTCATGTGGGCTTGCCTAACGCAGAGGCAAGTAAAAGGAATTATTTCTACCATCAAGTACTTGAATGGGCTTTTGATACATTACTTCATTTAATCCTTCAATACAAGGACAGCTGCTCTTGGTAACAGTGATTTATGAGGTAGTTGAGGCTCAGAGAGGTTAAGTAATTGACGAAGTTTCATTGCAAATTAAGTGGCAGATCTGGGGTTCGTGCCCAGGTTTGCCAGACTCCAGAGCCCACACTTTCCCATCACGTACCTCGCCTGATACTCTCCTCTGAATACACCCCTGTAGTTCTGAGAGGCCTTAGAGTGCAGGGCTGATGCGTTTGCAGCTTACAGTCAGTGAGGCCTCTTAACTTACTCTGATGTGCCTGTGTCTTGCCAGAAGAGTGAAGCACTTCTGCTAAATTCCAGGAATGCTTTTTCAGTCCTGCATGAAAGCCAGCGGGACTGCTTATCCTTGAAGGGTCATCAGTGCGCCAAAGTTGAGGTCCCCAGCTGTCAGGCATGACTTTGCTAGAAGGGAGCTTTCTTTCCTGTGACCCCAGGTCCTGTGGATAACTCTCAGTCCCCACGGATAACTCTCAGTCCCCACAACATGCTGCTCCTCAAAGGCCAGTCAAGGCGAAGTATATTGTTTACCCACGTTTACCTAAAGGCAACCAGTCTGTGTTTTGATCAGAAGAGAATAAGAGGGATCCTTTTGAGTGTGTTAGAAACAGGTCTTCGCGTGGGTGAATGGGAAGACAACGTGCAGAGTGAAATAAACCAGTTGTGCAAGGATAGATAACATGTGATTCCACTTGTATGAGATACCTATAGTAGTCAAAGTCACAGACACAGACAGTGGAATGGTGATCAGCAGGGGAGGGGGCGAGGAGGGGACGGTGTTACTGTCTGATGTGTGCAGATGTCAGTTTGGAAACATGAGAAAGATCTGGGGATGAACGGTGGTCGTGGTTGCACGACATTGAGAAGGGACTTACTGCCACTGAACTGTACAGTGAAATGTTAACATGGTAAAATGATGCTATATATATTTTACCACAATAAAAATGACCAAACAGACCCATAAAGAGGGGGGGAAATGTTTGATTACCTGTGTGACCAGAGGTGCTCCGGGAGCATAGAGTCCCTTGCTCACTGGAGATTTGAGCTCACGGTCGTTCTCTGAGTCAGCTTGCCGTGAGCAAGGTATAGGTGACAGTGAGGGGAGTCTTTGGTTTTTTCTTGACAGTTTTCTCCATTGAAGAAGTTTTACCAGCTTCACACAGATGCCTTTACCAGTGTTTGAGCCACTGTTCCACAGATGCCTGGAGGCGGGGGCAGGGTGAGAAGCAGCCTTGTCCTCAAGAACTCCCGTGTATGGACCCTTGATTATACTTGCTTTTTAATAGTGATTTTCTTATTCTTTTATCTCCCCCTCCCACATCTGTCTGAGCATGTAGCTGGACTTTTCTAAGGAAAAACAAAACAAAACAAAACAAAACAGGGCTGTAATGCTGTTTGGTTGTACCAAAGTGGTCATGGCCTCTCTGGAGACCTAAATGAGAACTAGACCGAGGACCCAAACACCTAAGTACGTTTGTTCCGTATTACACTGGAGGTGCTGCCCCTGGCAACCCGAGGTCAGTTATCCAATTCAGTGCATTGGCTGTTTTGAGAAAAATTAGATTGGGGCCATAATCCACCAGCATTCTCTCTACAGTGTGGAGTTTTGTGTCTCTGTGGCTGTATTTACTTATTTTGCCTGTACATTTTCCTTTCCAGGAATCATTAACCAATGGCAACAGGAATCCAAGGATAAAGCGATTGCCCTCCTGTTAACTCACCTGCCTCTGCTGAAGCCAGGAAACCGCGACGCCAAAGTCGAGTATATGAAACTTCTGCCCAAGATCCTGGCGCACTCTATCGAGCACAACCAGCACATCGAGGAGAGCAGGCAGCTGCTGTCCTACGCGCTGATACATCCTGCCACCTCACTGGAAGACCGCAGTGCTTTAGCCATGTGGCTGAACCACTTGGAGGACCGCACGTCAACCAGCTTCGGTGGCCAGAACCGGGGCCGCTCAGACTCTGTGGATTATGGGCAGACGCACTACTATCACCAAAGACAGAACTCCGACGACAAGCTCAATGGGTGGCAGAACTCTCGGGATTCTGGGATTTGCATCAACGCCTCCAACTGGCAAGACAAAAGTCTGGGGTGTGAGAATGGCCACGTGCCCCTCTACTCCTCCTCATCCGTCCCCACCACAATCAACACGATCGGAACCAGCACAAGTACAAGTAAGTCCCCTGGAAGCCCTTCAGCGCAGTGTGGTTTGGTGACTGGCTGTGTGTGGCATGTTCCTCTGCAGTGTCTGCTATGAGCCCCCGTAACCCAGGGATGGAAGGGCTGATTGGAATTGGCTGTGGGAAGGGGATCTTCAGACCCCATTTTTGTTGGTCTTTTGGCTCTGGAAGGATGAAAATGCTGGGCAGGTAAAAATGATTGGTGATCCAAATTTGGATTACAACAGATTTTTAAAAATTAAAAATAAGAGAGAATAAGTGGTGAATGCCTTTCACCCACTTGTCTTTCACCCTGGGGTCTTGGATTTGCATGCCCCTGGGGGCGTGTGGTTTTCCAAATCTCCTTCTAACCCATGGTTAACCAGACAGCCCCATGGGCTTTATGCATTTTCTCTTTTTTCCCCTTTTTCTTTCATTTTTTTTATTCTTTCTTTTTCTATTTTATTTTTCACCCTGGAATGTTCCCATCCTTTGTTTGCATTTCCTGGTTTTATCCCCAGTTGTTGGGGCCACTATTCCTCCTGGCGGGGGAGCAGGTTTGCTAGCTGAGAATGCTGCTCTGTGCTGGGGCCTGGTGTGGATGCTGTGGCCTTCTCTCACTCAGTCTAACCCGTTAGGAGACGTGGATCGAGACCTGCTTTGCAGGGGGAAGAGCATAGGACAGCTTCCTGCTCTTTCAACCACAGAAGCAAAGTACCCTGCCCACAGCTGGGACAAGGGCTAGAGTCTTCTCAAAATGCAATTGGTACTTCTGTACAGCAGCAACTGGGGAGAGTGGGCCGTCCCTAAACAGAATTCCTTGATGCCAGCTAGCATGTGTCTGTGAATACAGTGTCAGTGCTGAGATCACTTCCTTGGGGGAAAGCTTTTTGCAGTTAGACTATGTGCCTGTCAGCCTGCAGAGACCCCCAATTAAAAAAGAGGAGAGTATTAAGAATTGGCAATGATGGCTTCTTGGCCTCTACGTCCACTTGGATCTTTTGGCTAATGGACCCTTTAAAAATGGCTTTCTCTAACACAGGAGTGTTGCATTATAACTACATTAATTGAAACAGTACCTTAGTGGAATAACCACAGAAATACTTAGGATACTGCACTGACAACGCTACAACATGAGATTTTAAGTTCTTCTTCTGGAGCATTTTCTCAGTACATTGAGATTTTGCTTCCTGGCAATTGCAATCAGTTTAGCCTAAATAAACTCATAAAATTTCTCAAAAAATTATTTTTCCTATATTTACATTTAGATATCAATACCTTGCACATTTTGAGAATTAGATGATTTTTGAATCAATAATTGATTAGGTAAGTGGTTCTGGTGACAGTGTTTTTCACAGACCAGTCACACAGGGAAGGGTTTCACCAGCCTCTGCGTGGTAGAGAGTGAAGGCTGGAGCGATTAAAGCAGACAGTGCGGGCTGGGATGACAGAGTTTCTTGGCTCAAGTTTCCTGGGTCAGCTTCAGAATCTAGTAATTGTTACCAAACTCACTGATAGCTGGGAGGGAGTCAAGCTCTGAGCTACTTGACCTCTCAAACCTTGGTCTTTTGTATTGTGAGGGGTTGAGTTTTACATCATGTGTCTTGAAATTAGTCTTGGGTCACTGCGTTTCTGTCTCTGCTAATGTACACATTCGGGGTCAGGTCTTGACAAGATTAATCCATTCGAGATGGTGTCAAATTATAGTATTTCTTTTATTGATCTCAATTGATTTTCCTAATGATAAAAATAATACATTAAATCAATCAGTACCATAGATCATAAAAAGGTAAATCAACAGCGGTAGTGTACAACTACATAGTGTTTACCACATGTTGGGTTTACTATGTGCTGGAACATTGAGGTGGAGAAAAATGATGTTTTGAAGGCATTAAAAATAGATGATGGAGCCATGCAGAGCTTTTCAAGGAAAGGATTAAGATAAGGTTAAGAGTAGGGGCAAAAACTAAGCCCTAGTATAACAAGAATCAACCTATTTCCATCTATTTAGACAGAAGTTAAATCAAGTGAGTTCTATTACGACCTTTGAGCTGGGCCTTTCTTCCATGAGATAAGAGAAGAAGGGGTTGGGACAGGTCGAGAAGTCCATTAAGCAACATAGGGAATTGCATCAGAAGAGAAGGAAGAATGGATTTTCCATACCTCGTTCTCCTTGTAAGGCTATTCAGGAGTCTGATGACTGAGAGCAAGAATGTGCGGATTGGTCCCTTCTGATCCCACAGGCTTATGTTGGATCAAAGTATTGGCTGTCACAAGCCATCCACAAGGTAACTTTGGTCAACTTTGTCTGAGCCGTCTCAAGCAATTCCAAACATCAGGTGCATTCAACCTGGCTAAGCATCTCCAGGTTTGCTTCCTGTCTGGTCTCCTACTGAGAAAGTAAACCATTCAGGAAAAGAGCCAGTCTCTCCTGATTTCCTTCAGGGCACACAGCGTTCGCCTGCGTGGAGGTCAATGCCGCCTTCCTTGCCCCAGACTGCCTTTCTAACCATCCTCCACTCTTCACTGGCAGACTAGGACCTGGAAAGACACTTGTTTCTATTCAAATCCTTGCAATACCAGATATTTTTGCTATCATTCTTTACATCCGGGTTTGAAAATAACGCATACACTAACCTTTGCAGCCTGATGTGAAGCAAGAACTCAGAAGCTTTGGGTAACAAAAATTATTCCAAAATGCTCCATTTGAACTGCTCCTTTCTATAGTCTTATGGCATATCTTGGACCTGTAGTATTTCTTTTATTAATCTCAATGGATTTTTCTGATGATAAAAATAGTACATTAAATAAGTTGGTATCATAGATCGTAAGAAGTAAATTAACAGTGATAGCGAACAACTACATAGTATTTACTACTTGCTGGGTGCTCTTCAAAACCCTTTACATAAACATTAACTCCTTTAACCCTCATAGTCCCATTATATGGATATTATTGTTACCCCATTTGACAGATGGACAGATTGAGGCACAGAGCAGCAAAGTAACTTCACAGATTAGCAAAACGGCTGAACTGGGGTTGGAATCCATGTCTGACTCTGAATTCAAGGTTACGTGCCTCTCCCTCCCATCACATCCTCAGAGATTGACTCCACTGGTAGCTAGTAGACCTTTGTTTTTCTCAAGCCCTGAATTTGCCCCCACGGAGAGCAGTCGCCCTCCAGCATCAGTGTCCTCCACAGCACACAGATCTGAGGCCCCGCCCAGCACCTGCTTCTACGTGACTCCCTGAAGAGAAGCTGTTCTCAGAGGAGGGGCTCACTTTGCATAGACCCATCTATTTCAATGTCTGGCCTCAGCCTTCTAGGCCACAGTTTTTGTCCACATGTTTACCTCCCTTTCCTGATTACAAACTCCTTGGGGGACAGGATGTGTGTATTTATCCTTCCTCCCCATCACCTAGAACATTGTGTGCTCAGAAAGTCACAGAAAGCTTGGAGATGTCAAATTCCTGGCATGCTGTCAGCTGCCACTCTCCCGTGGTAGAGCATCTCTGTTAGATAATATCTGACTCTTGCTAAGCCCAGATGTGGCCTCCAGACCCTCCTCCATGTGCCCCTTGAGGCTGCCACTATAACTTGATGAGAGATGGCATGTGAGCGAAAGCCAGTCTGCCCACCCTGCCATGTATGTTTGCTGAATGGTAGGGACTTATTAAATTCCACTGCTTGCTAGGCAGATGTTCTTGATGTTAATAAATTTCTAAAATAAACAAGAAAAGTGTCTTTGGGAATTTACTCAGTATTTGGTGATAAAATTGGTCATTTAACCTTCTGTCATAATCCTCATAGTGACATTTATTGTTACTCATGCTTTTCTGTGACTTGTTTTACCAACTTGAGCTCAATACTAACAGATACATACTATTATCTTGATTGTGGAGGTAGCTATATGAATTCATACCAAAAAATTAATGTGTACAAAAACTGCTGAGATCTGAGAAAGGTCTATCATCTTGTTTAATTGCATTGTGTTAAGGTCAATGTCCTGGTTTTGATATCAGGTTTTTACACTATAGTCATGGAAAGCATCACCTTGGGGGAGGCTAGGCAGTGGGTACATGAGACCTCTCTCTGTTGTATTTTGCAGTTCCTTATAAATCTATAATTATTTCAAACTTAAAAGTTAAAAAACAGAACTACAGAGGCATCCAGAGACTCGATATTCCTTGGGCTTTGGTCCTTGTTTCTTAGCCTCTCTGGGGGCAGAGGGCTGTCCATTTGTAGAAAAGATGGCTGCGCAGTGCCAGGGAGCCAACAGTTGAAGTGACATGCTTCGGGGGGCAAGGCGAGCGGTGGGAGCTACGTGGGTCTCAGGCACACTGGCCCCTTTGGGAACCCCTCATCTGCCACTGCACAAACCCCTCCAAGTCCATCCATCTTCCCCGTAGGCAGCCAGGGCCAACTCTTTCAGAGATAACTGTTTGGCTCAAGAAGTCCTTTGTTTTTTCCCTGCCCTTCACATTTTCTGTCAAGGCCACCAGCCACTTCAGACTCATTCCAGTCAGAATGCAAAAAACATCAGAACACCCCTATTCGGGGGAAGGAGAGAGACTGTACAGCTTCAGGCAGGCCCGAGAAGAAAAGACATCTTTGCAAGCGGCCTCTTGGAAACTGATAAGGAAGGACACGTCTGGAGACTCTGACTCTGTCTTGCAGGCTGCAGGTCGTCTCCATCCTTTTAAAGTTTCAGGGAATTATTTTTGTCTTTTACCAACAGACATTCTTGGTGGAAATTTTCTTCCTCCCTAAATTCTAGCCAACCTGGCATGTAACTGAAAAATTCCAGTATTTCCTTAACCCCTCATTTGCTCTTCAAGGAGGTAACTCTAGTTGCTTTGCTTCCTTTGAAAAGCATTTATAACAGCTGGCATGATGTATTTTTAGCTTCAGCTTCCTTCCCCTTTGGGGTAAACTTTTTTTAAGTCTGTCACTGGCCTTCCTGACACCACATCGTGAGGATGGCTCTGTGGTGGCTTGGAGGACCCGGTGTTGCCG